GTATAAAGGGTAGTGGAATCGCGACAATTAGCCACATCAAAGGCTGATTTAAGGTTTATGAAGGCTGTTTGTGCCTTAACTTTTGACTGAACAAGATATTCTGCAAAGCACGTCTTTGACTTGAAACATGAGACGATTGAGAACAACTCTTTCAAGGACTTTACACATACAGGATGTGAGTGAAATGGGCCTGAAGTTTGGAGAGTTAGCTTTAGGTAGTGGTACTATAGGTTATGCCCTCCTCACCAGGGGAGGATGATTCACCTTTTATTAGTGCTCTCGTTAGTTCGTGGTAAGTTCTAGGAAACTGGTCAGTAAAGTCTGGTGAGGAACAGGCAATTTCAATACTGAAACCCCTATTAATGTGTGTAGCTTTTAGATATTGCTGTATGTCAGGAGGCTGGGAAGTGATTTGTGACACACTGGACCATTGGTCTAGTAACATGTCAGCATATTCTGCGGGGCTGTGATGAAGTTGGACTGGGGTGGGTAACTTGGTAAAGGCTCTAAATTTGTTCCACACTTCTGCTAGAGTGGTTGTTCTATCAATCCCCTGTAATAATTGTCCGCAATGGGTTTTCTCACCTGACTTTTGAGTTCACGAAATGCTCTGTTAGCTTTGAGGAATGCCAGGAGGTTATCACTAATTTTATTTTGCTTATAAGTGTTGGCTAGCTGTTCTACCTTCTCTCCTTTTTTGACGAGGATGGAGTCATGTGTCCACGGAGGTGGTTTAGTGCTGCCCCCCTTCCTCCTTGGCTTAACCCAGGTGGTACGGTATAATATGCGGTAATGACATTTACAAGATCACAGTAAAATTCATCCACTGTCCCAGGTGTATATCCAGCATACCATCTGTGGATGTAGGCCTTGAAGTGCAGTTTAAGATTATCTGGGATTCTAATTCTGAGCTTAGGATGGGGTTCACACTTGACATCATCAACAGTGTATTCAGAAAGTATTGCATAATGATCACTGACTAAGTGGTCTGATATTACCTTAGCCTTGACATTACTGTTTACTAGGTTATACCCAATCACATAATCAAGTCTGCCTCCCATCAGATGTGTCACTTTGTCTGTGTTGTATACAGTGATATTATGATAATTGATGTAATTCACGAACAACCTTCCATTAGAGTTACACTGAACATCACTGAGGACAGTGTGACGTGAATTATAATCACCCATACACAACATAGCATTGTTACCTGATGGTTTTGGTAACACGTCCGCTCGCAGCTCATTACACCGAACATAGATGTTATACAGCGAAAATTGACTGTTTGCTGTGTTTACTGTAAATTGTTGATAGTGAATACTTTCATCATTGTGAGTTTTAATCCATTTACAGACCTGACCATTCTTTACATAAGTAAGCAGACCACTTCCTGCTCCACTATTGTATGCTGTATACCCAGCTATCCTGGGTGCAGCTTTCTTCTGGGTACTGGACGTGTAAGGTTCTTGTAAACAATTACATCAATGTTGAAAACTTTAACATACCATTGTAGGTCATTGATTCTGCGGTTAACACTCCTGATGTTCCTTGAAATGAACCTAAGCGTTCTTGTTACTCGTTCCACCTTGAATTGAGTAGAGAGAGTTGTGCGTTGGCTTCATAGATCAACCTGGCCAATATGCTAACCCTTTCAAATTCACCACCCCTGGATTTCTTGATAATGCTTCTCACAGCCCTTATTCTAGTAGGATTTTTATACTCACATTCCTTCATTTGTCGGGTAAGAAGAAGGATGAGGAGGAGGAGGAGGAAAGTGAGGAGGAGGGGGAGAGCAAAGAGGAGGAGAATGAGTGAAAGTAAAGTAGGAGGAGGAGAGAGAGTAGGGAGGAGAAAGAGGAGAAAGGGAGGGAGAGAAAGAGAGGGAGAAATGTGGGAGAGGAGAGGTAGAGAAGCAGCGGGGAAAAGGAACTGAAAGATGAAAGACAAAGAACAGGACTGGGAGGAACAAGCGAGAGAGAGAGAGAGAGAGAGGAAAGGTGGAGAATGAGAGGGTGGAAGAGAGGGGGTAGAAAGAAAAAAGAAAGGAGGCTGAAAGGAAGAACGAAGGAGGCGGAAAGGAAGAAGGGGGTTGTTGCCGGAAAGGTGGTTTACACATAGACCTAAAAAAAAAGAAAACAAAAGGAGAGAAATATCATGCTAATCCAACCATAACTTATACGCAATAAGGTACAATAAGTTGCCACAGGTGATCGACCCAGAACAACACGTCCCTCTCTCACTCACATGGAAAAGTGGTTATGTTTTACGGTCCTTTAGTGAGATGAGGGAAAACATTGACTGGACGAGGGGTGAACTTGAGAGAGAGAGAGAGAGAGAGAGAGCAGGAACCATAAATGAGGGCGATAGGGAGTAGAAGAGAAGCAAAGGGGGAAGGAAGAGGGCTAGAGAGAGAGAGATCAGTGACAAAAATGAAAGTGGGAATGAAAGAAAATGTGGAAAAGAAACGCAGCAGAGAAGAATGGTAAATGGTGATGGTACAAAAAAGACGACAGTTAGAGGAGAAGGAGAGGAGAAATGCGGTGAGGGTAGAAAGAGAAGAAAAGATAAGGATGGAAGGGAAGAGAAAAATAGTAAAGAAAGATGACACTAGGAGAAAAATGTGTAAAAGGGAGGGAGAGGGACGAAAGGAGAGAGAAAAAGGAGTGGGGAAGACACTATGAGGTCTAGGTATGGAGTGGGGGAGAGGGGATAGGATGAGTGGTGGCTCGTTAGAGTAAGAAAAGTGAAGGATAACAGGTGGATGAAGACACGAACAACCATTTTTTTTTTTTTTTTTTTTTTTTTTTTTTTTTTTTTTTTTTTGTTAGGTTAAGGTGGGGAAAGGATGGAAGGCATGCTGGGGCTCAAGGCACAGCCAGACATGAGGGATGGAGAAGTCACAACATATAGTCGTGGGGGGAAAGGTTGGAAAAGAAGTTTAATGAGTTAAACAGAGGGGGACGACACCCCTTGTTTTACATATTACAGAGTTTGTTGGCTAACTAAGCTAACCTAGGATTTAGAATGAGGTTGCACAATGGTTATTTTAGTAGACAATGACTAGATTGATTTTACAATTACAAGTTTATTAACATCTTATACTGTATTACGTTATGGACTCACTTGATTGTGACTTGTTAAATGTGAATTTATATCATCGAAGTCTTAATCTAAGGTGGATCACTGCGGCGGACATAGATGGATCGCAGGTTGGGTTGTTGTAGTGCGGGCAGACTCCGGGGCCACCAGGCGTGGGGTCTCCCTCCGTTAATGTCTTCTTAATGTCTTCCCCGCGTAGGTGGTCTGGGCTGTGAGGGTCGTCCAGGAGCTTCCCTACAAACGCTGTTTGTCGCTGAGTAGCCGACCCCGCGAATTCCCCAGTGTATGCCTCGTGGTCTGGGTCAACCAGCGCCGCCATACATCGTGGAGGTCAACTACTAAGCCACGCCTACCCCCGCTATTTAAGACCTGACCTCGTGGTGACCTCTCTTCTAGCTACCACCTCCTCCGCCGCTGCCTGGCGGCCCTCGCTCCCGCCGGCGAGCATGGCGACCCACAAGCTGTCCTCCTCTGAGCACCCTCACCAACCAACTCTCTCTACATCACGCTTGTAACCACGCTGCCACTTCCCAGCACCAAGCTGCATTGTACATCCAATACAACATGTGTACAGAGAGCACATTGTGAGTTTCCTTTCTCCATCCCATCCGGAGTGTGAACCCAAACATCCCATACCCCACAGTGTCAACCACTCCCCATACCGTGTGTCAGGCACTTCCCACACCATGTGTCACAGTCAGCCAGACTCCCGACACCATAGTTCAACCTCAGTGTCAATAAACCTCATACAATGTGTCAGTTAGACAGTCTCTCCCTACTCCACATCAGTCACTCCCCCACAGTGTGCCAGCCACAGTGCCACACTCCCTACACAGTGTGCCAGCCGCAGTGCCACACTCCCCACAGTGTGCCAGCCACAGTGCCACACTCCCTACACAGTGTGCCAGCCGCAGTGCCACACTCCCCACAGCGTGCCAGCCACAGTGCCACACTCCCTACACAGTGTGCCAGCCACAGTGCCACACTCCGCACACAGTGTGTTAACCACAGTGCCACACTCCCTACACAGTGTGCCAGCCACAGTGCCACACTCCGCACACAGTGTGTCAACCACAGTGCCACACTCCCTACACAGTGTGCCAGCCACAGTGCCACACTCTGCACACAGTGTGTCAACCACAGTGCCACACTCCCTACACAGTGTGCCAGCCACAGTGCCACACTCCGCACACAGTGTGTCAACCACAGTGCCACACTCCCTACAGTGTGCCAGCCACAGTGCCACACTCTGCACACAGTGTGTTAACCACAGTGCCACACTCCCTACACAGTGTGCCAGCCACAGTGCCACTCCGCACACAGCGTGCCAGCCACAGTGCCACACTCCCTACACAGTGTGCCAGCCACAGTGCCACACTCCACACACAGTGTGTTAACCACAGTGCCACACTCCCTACACAGTGTGCCAGCCACAGTGCCACACTCCGCACACAGTGTGTCAACCACAGTGCCACACTCCCTACACAGTGTGCCAGCCACAGTGCCACACTCTGCACACAGTGTGTCAACCACAGTGCCACACTCCCTACACAGTGTGCCAGCCACAGTGCCACACTCTGCACACAGTGTGTCAACCACAGTGCCACACTCCCTACACAGTGTGCCAGCCACAGTGCCACACTCCGCACACAGTGTGTCAACCACAGTGCCACACTCCCTACACAGTGTGCCAGCCACAGTGCCACACTCTGCACACAGTGTGTCAACCACAGTGCCACACTCCCTACACAGTGTGCCAGCCACAGTGCCACACTCTGCACACAGTGTGTCAACCACAGTGCCACACTCCCTGTGCCACACAGTGTGCCAGCCACAGTGTGCCACCACAGTGCCACACTCTGCACACAGTGTGTCAACCACAGTGCCACACTCCCTACACAGTGTGCCAGCCACAGTGCCACACTCCGCACACAGTGTGTCAACCACAGTGCCACACTCCCTACACAGTGTGCCAGCCACAGTGCCACACTCTGCACACAGTGTGGCAACCACAGTGCCACACTCCCTACACAGTGTGCCAGCCACAGTGCCACACTCTGCACACAGTGTGTCAACCACAGTGCCACACTCCGCACACAGTGTGCCAGCCACAATGCCACACTCAGCACATAGTGCCTAACACATTTCACTTTCATCTCGCCTCGCCGTTTTAGTAAATTTTCCTTTGAACCGATGGAGGCGGAGGTTTTACATGTTGATTTAAATTATGTTTCAGGGTAAACCAATAATTGCTCCCAAACAAGCCAGAAAATTAATTTAAAAGAATATTAAATTGAAATCATTGTCGAACTTCAGCCGAGCATGAGCCACAAAGGAGGGAGGAGGGTACAGAGAAGTAAGTGCGTATCAATTAAAAATTTTCTGTGTCCCATTCCACGTCACCCAGGGGCCCCTGTAAGGAAGCCGTGGTGAGGGACTCGTTTATGGCACAATATATTTTGGTTATCGTCGGTTGGACTCACATCACGGAAAACATTTTGTGACACATTTCTCTCTCCAGCGAAAAACAAATTTTTTCCGTAAACAAGTAATCGCTGAAGACTAAGTCTATCAGGTTTTATTAAAGTAAATAATTATAAAATGTATAACTTCTTAGGGAACTATTAGAGTATACAGTAAACAGACAGGCGGAAATAGGAACTAGAGAATAAGAGCACACATACACACACACACACACACGTGACACATTATAATAATAATGGTTGCCCCTCATGTAATGAGGATGGCCGGCCCTATGGCCACCTAGGTGTGAATTTGTTTAAAGTGTAGACGCTGTCGCCAACACAACAATCACACCCTAAGTTAACACGCTGAATGATCCAGTGTCAGAGAATAGTCCGAGAAGACCGGACATCTCTCCAACTGCACTGGTTAACCATTACCCCAGAACACGATTCGCAAATCGATTAACATCCAGGTCCCCAATTACTGCTGGGTAGACAGAGGCAAATAGCGTAAAGAAACTTGCCCATAGTTTCACCCTGCCCAGGGATCGAACCCGTGTCCACTCGTTTGCGAGGCGAGCAAGATGACCATTACACCACAGGTCACCATCTGACACACAGCACACCCACTTGGTCACTACCTTAAAATACTGATGCTTACTCCCGTTACTAACTTTTGTTTAAGCTATCAAGACACTCCCCTAACACACATACCTCCCCCTCCCCTTCCTTCCTTCCTCCCTCGTCAGCCCCCCCCCACTCTCTCTCTCTTCCATTGTGTCTATTTATTTATAGTTATTTATACACGAAACATTCTAACACTGATCATATCTTCTTACCTACAGGGAACACCGTGTAAAATGTTATCATTGTAATCAATACTTTTCGCCGCTATTCTACACCTTAAATATTAAAAGGAACACAGGTCAGGTGATGATATCTGGCAGGTACGTTTGGTATAGGTTAGGTTAGGTTAGGTTTGTGGGTAAACTGTTTAAGGGTAGATTATACACAACACTGTCAAACTGAGTGCAGGGAAGTGAGCTTTGTAGATGATGAGTATTGATAGATGAGAGTTAATCCCTTGGTGACTCTTTCGTTGAGTTTGGCGGCTGCTACCAACACTTACAAGAAGTCTCATCACCGGTACTTGTGTTTGGTAAAGAGTTATAACCGTTTATATATTTCACGACAATAAATTGGGTATCGTATTATCATTAACTTTGTATTTCATGAATATATAAATATAAATACAGGATGAGTCATAAGCCAATTACAGTGGAAATTTTTAATCAGTTGTTTATATCGTTTAAGTTAACACTAAAAACCGCGGGAAAAAGTGGACCTGGCATGAGTCAAAGAGAGGCGTATGAAGAATTACATTGACTGCAACCTAAGAGGCCAAAACCGAATCATCATTTAATTCCACTTCTTCCCACTGATTATACATCATAGGATTAAACAAAAAGTCAACAATTAAACAAAAACTCCCATCGGAATTGAATTATGACTCGCCAGAAATTCCTATTGGACGTCTGAATGACAACATAATGGGGGGAAATCAATGGAGGTGGTCCCAGGAAATTTCGAAAATGTGTCACTTTTGGAGCTGGTCACACACTAGAATGCCACATTATTTACCACTTCCTCAGCGCGGATCTCCAGCCAGATATAATAAATGAGAGATACAAAGGTTAAAACAACAGCATATTTTTTTCCAGACCCAAATTTGTGGTTAAAATATGGAGGTTTAGGACGAAAATAACACCACAGGTTAACACGCGACACAAAACACCAAAAGTGAGTTCCATGAAAAAAATAAAATACCATACTATAAAGTCTACTTTTATAGATGATATCAGTGGAAGGTCACATCGTAGGGCTGATCGTAGTCTTACCATGATATTGTAGCATAACGCATGTGGCCAGTAGTCTAATTTCTCTTTGTGTGTATCTATTTTCTCTTTGTTAGGCTCACATACATACGTACATGGAGGAGATCTCGCACTAAGGATGGGGATGAGAAAGGAAACTCATAGTGGCGTTTTTTGTATATATACAGTATATTATATATACAGAGCAGTCAGGTGCTGGGAAGTTGCTGTGTAGTAGAGGGGTTGCTGTGGAGGAGCTTCCTGAGAGGAGGTTCTCTCTGATTAAGAGCGTGGTGTAGTCTGCTCTCACGGCTTTTTTTTATAAGATATGTAGGAATATTACCTACGCGGACCTTAAGCTAAAATACTGGTCCGCCCACTGCTGGGATAAAACACCAGCATCTTTTTAGTTAACTGTACATCTCCACTACTAGCGTGGGGTGAATGCTCGGAAAGAAACTATAGAGTTTCTTGAGAGTTGTTGCTGGTTAGCCTTTTGGCAACCTTCACTGCTGTGATAGGGGGTTGTATGTTTCTCCTAGCCAAGTGTTTTCCAGGGCACTCTATGAGGTAGTGTTGCAGTGAGTTTTCTGCTTCGCTGTCGCACGTCTGGTATTTGTACAATGATTTCTCATACGCATGGGTACCCCAGTCTCAGTTGGTGTTAGATGGCTTCTTCCCTTCTTGTTATTTCCTTCATGAGTGGTGGTCTCTCATAATTCGTGACCAGATGGTACCACCTGGCCGATCGTGATACTGGTGTTAATCTTCTATGTTTGTCTATTTTCCACTGGGCAGTTCGTGTTACTGTGGTCTTCTTTATTTGCTCCTGACTGGGCGGGATGTTCATCTCAATATTTTGCTGTCCTAACACAGCAGTCAATCAGTCAGAACACCGAGATAAGAGAGCCGTGGCTCTCAGGCGAAAAAGAAGATTTAGTGAAAGGTATGGTTAAGAAGTGGGAGGTACAGAAGAAGAATGATAGCAGGTGGGCTTTCCACCTTGCGGAGGCTGGTTTGTGGCTTAACCAGTGACAGACGTCCCACAGTCCACCAGGGGCAAGGGAAGTTAGATAAGCTAAGCTAAGCTAGTTTAAAGTGCGACCCAAGGGAATGTGCTGTCTTAGGGATTGTCGTAGGGTCCTTTCAGGTCCTTGTGTTGAGGAAGGGATGTTCCTCATCTTTAGTGATTGGGGGGTCCCACCAGGTCCTTGTGTAACTGGCAGGATAGTCCCCATCTTTACGGTTATGTATCTGGCGTTGGTCTTTCGTGTTAGTTGTTTGTTGGAGGGACCCTTCAGGTCCTTGTGTAACTGAAGGAATGTTCCTCATCTTTAGTGATTGGGGGGTCCCACCAGGTCCTTGTGCGAAAAGGCATGATAGTCCCCATCTTTTCGGTTATATAAGTGGTGTTATTCTTTCGCGTATAATGGTTCCGGGCTGATTGCGTTAATGTTGATGTTTCTTGGCCACCAGCTGTGTGATATATTGTTGTTTGTCTTTAATAGTTCCTGTAAAATAGGGTCTTGTGTTCGTCACCCAGAAAGACCACGGAGAATGCAGACCTAGGAGACGAAATTGGTCTACGATTTTTCACCACTACTGCTCCCCCATAGTCTCAACAGAAAGACTCCTGGTAGAAATAAGACAAGGAAAGATAAAATACACATACACAGACAAAAACCTAGAAGACACCCACACCGAAACACTAATTAAGAAAGGAAGAATACTCACAAGACACAACAGAATAGAGAGACTTGACCAGTCATTATTTAAAAAAATCCGCCTTGGCCTGCTGACTGACAGGAGGTCTTCAGGAGAACATCGACCATCTAAAATGCCGCAAATAAGTTCGAGACATCATCATTCATAATCAACAGACTTAAAAAAAATCAACATAATTGTCTGACCTGACCACACCAAGAGCTCACGAATTATACAACATGTATCTTACCCTGGACCCAGATGTCATCATATTAAATTCTCACGACAAGTGTAATTAAAATAAAATCAAGATATTCAATTACACAGTATACCAAAAAAAAACACAGCCAAAATCCGTTACAGGATGGAATAGTTACGTATAGCAATTAAAAGAAGTATAAAACATAAAATACATTATGCATTTCAAGAAAAATTTCTGGCAATTGAAATTAACAGCACCACGGGTCCAATCATAATCGGTACCTGTTACCTCCCTCCAGGAAGACCTATCTTTCCAATAGCAGACATGCTCAGATTGATGAGGAGGAATATACCTGCCTACTTACCTCAACGCTAGACACCGCATACTAGGACACCACACCAACAAGACAGTAAGACACGTGCTGAACACACAAGTGAGCCACGGCAACGTAGTACACCTCGGACCGGAATTCCCCACGTACATTAGAGCAGGCTACACAGGATACCCAGACATAGTTTTGACTAATCAACACCACCACATAAACATACTACTCGAACCCGGCTCAATATTCACAAGTGATCATCTCCCTATCATAGCCACACTCTCCACAGCCCCAATACAGATCCCGGCCAGGCTAAGATTCAACTATAACCGGGCTAACTGAGATAACTTCAAACAAGAATTAAATAACTCGTAACCCACACATTTACACAACAGGCACACTTCTCTAATAGGCCGATCA